ATATATATATATATATATATATATATATATATATATATATATATATAATAGACATGATTTATTAGAGAAATTAAATATCCTCCTACTTATTTTTCCTACCTATCCTCCTATCAATTTTAGATGATGATAAATGTAATAAAAATTTATTAATTTAATTAAATAAGTGTCACAATCTTAAGTGTGTATGGTAGGTAAAAAAAGAAGGGGGATATTTAATTTCTCTATTTATTATGTTAGTAAAGAGTTGTTTGGGAAGTCTCTCAATGGAATAATTACGAGGCAGTTTAACATTAAAAATGTATCGTTGTGCATTAAATGTGCCTATTAGAGGAAAAAAAAGCCTATGAACGATTCATATTTAGCTTCTTTTTCCCTCACAAATCTCTCTTCACTTTTCTTGTAACCGATGCAATCCGATTGTTTATTATTGTATGTGAGAGTATATATGTGTGAGTGTGTGTGTTTAATAGTGAAAGATAGACAAAAAGAGAATGGGACAAAAGAGACTCCGGACCCATAGGTTTTTTTTGGAACAGGCTAGAATTTTATTGACCAAACTAGGCAAGATGCCAAGCTGGGAAGAAACCACCAAACAGAAGAAAACAGAAAAAACACCAAAATATGCCAGAGTATAAGATGGTGAATGGGTTACAACACCATTTCACCCAATCTCCATTTCCCATTTTGCCCCTATGTTTTACCCATCCGAACACCAATGAGATCACGTTATCAGCTGTTTTACCGGTTTTAAAGGAGTGTTATTAAATACTATGTCGTTCCTCGCCCGCCAAATACACCAAATAGTACCATAAATAACACTTAGGAATATTTTCTTTTTCTTTGGCATGTTCACCCATTTAGAAGCAAAATCAAGTAATTCAACCACTGAAGCGAATTTTTGAGGCTCAATGCCACACCACTCAAATATCAACCTGAATGTTTCCTCTGAGTATGAGCAATTCGCCAAAAGATGGTCCGTCTTTTCTAAATCCGATTGACACAAAGGGCACGTTACCGA